TGCAAGTCCAGATTCGTCTCCAGAATTGCGTCGAATATCCCTTTCTCGGTCTCTAATGAACACAACAAGAACAATGCGTACAGATTATTCGCCATATTTTAGTTTCATTTTAGACTCCCAGCAAAGACTTGTTCGTAGAGGTGATTATTTTTTTTTCCCACCAAATCAATGAATTTGATTTTCACAAGAAGTAAGCTATTATCGGTTATGGCGCGAAAGTCTACACCAAATTGACGGAGCTGGGCGAGATCGGGAACATGGGAGGGCAAAAGGGGGAATGAGATCGAGCTCCGGGAGGCGCCCAGCCGGAACGCCACCTCTCCGGCGGTGGCATCTTCTTCTACCCCGCTCAACCAGAACGCGGAAGCGCAGTCCGGAACCACAATATTTTCTCCTCCGACGCGGAAACGTCGGAAGGTAACCGCCGTAGTTGAGGTGGAAATATTAAATTTTAAATTTTTTAATTGCCACGTCATGCATTTAACGGTCAACTATAAGAGTTGACCGCCACATCAGCAAAAGTTAACGGAGACTAACGGTCAGTGACCAAACTTGAACTGTTAACCTAATTTAAGTGACTATAAATGGAATAAATTAATTTGAGTGGCAAACGTGAAATTTTGTAGCAATAGGAGTGACCAAACTTGCAATTAAGCCCTATGTTTAATTTCCTTCTTCGTTAATGGCCATTGCTCTACTCTAGACTCTAGTACTGTATCACGCGCGACTGCAATAAATTATACCCTATCCAAAAAGTTCCATACGACACGATAACAGGCAAGTAGTTGAAGGTATATTTAAGCACAGCATGAGCCCAGGGGCTTGGGATACAGTCAGTAACCGTTGGTTACTGATCTGTAAGTAACTCACCCGGAGCCGTTGATCTAGGACGAAGCGATCATGTGATTGGGATTGATGTAGGGTGATGAGGGGTATTTCTGTCCTCTTTTGAATTTTTAATTGTTTATTTTTTTTAATTTGTCCAACATTTATTAGTTTGCTTTGCATGGAGGAGAGAGAGTTAGTGGCTTATCTCTACAACTCTCTTTTCCTCTTTCTTTGTTCCTTTCTCTCTCTCATTCTCCTTATTCTCTAGATCTAATCTCTTATTCTGTTCTTCATTTTTCTATCTCTCTTCCAATCTCCTTCTTCTCTAGATCTAATCTCTTATTATGTTCTTCATTTTTTCTCTATAACAATCGATGAAGGAAAGGTGCAGCCTCCTTTTTTCAAGTCCTCAGCTTCAAAATTGGTGACGCTCCATATCAACCAAGAGGGGACAAATCTAGGTGAGTTGAGTTTGCATGTTTTAGTTTTTGTTTGTGAATTTTCAATTCCAATCTTCCTCTTTTTTTTCTTCTTTTGGTGTTCTCTTTTGCGGAGGAGGAAACGAGAGGAGGCAGAAGAAAGACATGTGAAGTACGTCTTAGTTTTATGTATATTGTTGTTACCATACTATACCATGGCGGTATTGTGTGGTAACTAGATGTATATTGTGGTTACCATACTACACCATATGGTAATGTGTGGTAACTCGATGTATACAATATGGTTACCATATTTTACCATGAAAGTAGAGTGTGGTAATCGACATCAATTCAGAGAAAGGAGATTCAGAAGACAATGAAGGGGACAAGAAACCGAAGAAAGTTGTAATTATATATATACCACACTATACCATATGGTAATGTGTGGTAACTAAATGTATTTTTATGCATACCATGTTTTACTATGGTCGTAGATGGTGGTAATTATATTTATATTTGTTGTTAAATGGTTTTACGTTCTCTTACCATGTGGTATTGTATGGTAATTATGATTGTTTTATGGTCATTCGATTTACCATGTTCTACTATGGTGGTATTGTATGATAGTTAGATTTATAATTTTTTGTAACATATTTTACCACGCTATACCATGTGGTATTGTATGGTAGTTAGATTTCTAATTTTATTTTAGCATTTATACCATATGGTATTGTATGGTAATTAGATTTGTAATTTTCTTTAACATATTTTACCATGTTATACCATAGTAGTAGAAAGTGATAGTCATATTCATACTTGTAATTACCCTTCTTGGCAGAGAATTATTAAATGAAAATTTCATCATTCAATTTGAGTTGGAGTTGGAGTAGAGAGAGCTGAGATTGTTGAATTCATATTTGTTTTAGAGATAGAGTTAGTGTGCAGAGAGCATGTACTTTTTTTTCTTTATTTTTTCAGTTGTAGATAGGAGAGAGAAGAAATAATTTAATTTTTCTTTTAATAATAGATCAAAGACTGACAGAGGGAAACATGTGGGGGACGGGGAGTGGGGTCCACGTTCGGTCAAAAGAAGGCGTCAGGTCGTCAGCATTAAATGGGTGGTGAATGTAAATTACCCTACTGCCCCTCCGTGTTTCATTTAAATAAAAGGGAACGGCTCAGATGCAGACACGTGGAGGACAGAGGAAGGGGTTACGCACGGTTACTGAGGATAGGGTTACTAACCTGATCCGGACCCGAGCCCAGGCCAGTGATCTGCTCTCCTCCATATCCAAAACCGCATTACATGCATACCACATGCAAGCTTGTACTAGTGGCCAGATACAATACAAACCTTTCTATACTTCCACAGTTTCAGTACATACTAATTTCTACGAACCCACTTCTCCCTCTTGTTCTCTCACCATCAGTAGTACTCATGATTTAGTGGTACAATCATGCGTTGCTGATCGGTATGTCAACAAAAACAAACGATAAGTATGTGCGTGAACTTTACAAATTCAATTTGTGCTAGCTCGTTTACAAGTAGAGAGGAAACTAGTTTCACTATTTCGATGAAACTATGTATAACAAACTACTAAGGATCAAAAAGTACAAATATATCAATTCTTTTATGATAAACGGAAAAGGGAAAGAAATATATCGCAAAAACTAAATAAAAAAATTTGGACGAAACTCATACACTGTGAGACTCTAAGACTGCCAATCGTAGATCAGATAACAAATTGAGTGTTAGCACATTAACCTAACTCATATACATCCTACCCAGCCGACTCATAATATGCTAATTTTATGGTTCGGCAGCCAAGGTACTACCAACCAGGGTTCTCTCACATAGCTAGCCAGCCACCACTCGGTACCGACCTACCCCTGATCCTCTTCCTAGGGATGACAATGATGCGGATTTTTAGCGGATTCCTCATCCTCTTTTCCACATAGCCGAATCCATACCCACCTCATACACATAAGAAGGGAGCTTTTGCAACCCTATCCTCTTACTTACGATTTTTCGGGTACCCATGGGTAATACCCACCATGTATATCCAATATTACAATATCTATAATTCAACATATAGGTCTTCATTTATAATACTAAACAGACCTAATAAATCATGAAATCAACAAAGAGATAATCATTCTCAATACAAATTCAAAGAATTCAATCCTAAAATATCCAATAATTAAAACAAAGTACAATACTATCCAAATCATTCATTTTTTACTCACACATATACTAAGTAATAAACAACTAACATAATCTTGTTTACATGAGGAAAAGCGAAAGAGTGAAAGGATAATTGAGGAAATGAACTTAGTGTTTGGTTTGGGTGACCACTCAATTACATTTCTACTTTTTATTTTTATTAATTATCATTCTCGCCATTGAAGTTACAATACGACCCTTATATTTTTAATATATGAAGAGATAATCTTAGTGGGACATGTATAGCTATGAGTATGCTTATGGATCGAAAATGCTAAAACCAAATATGTCTCATCCCATCAAGCATTTTGTTGGTTTTACACATACATGCCCCATACCCAATCAATATGGTAATTCCCCACATTGATTATGTTAAAGAATCAGGTACCCGCAGTTGTGTGTTTGATTGTTATCCCTACCTCTATATAGGAATGAAAACGGGGCATGTCCAGGGCAGTATGTTGATTCCCATACTTGTCCCATGACAGGTCGTGTTTAGGGTGAGTAAGTTATATATCACGGGACGCAGGTCGGGACAAATCGATCACATGGGTAAAGTAATTTTAAAAAATAATATTAGAAATTTTCATTTTAATTAAAAATCCAAGGAAACAACTTAGAATAAGATAAATAAAAATTGACACTTTCACCTATTTACAACTTGATTATAGCTAGATAATAAAAATAAAGTTCTAAGTAGTTTGAGTAAAATCACATATAATCTGTTGAAGCTTGCATGGGAAGAAGAGGCTAGGAAGGTGATTCTTCAGACAGATTCCAATACGGCTATTTCCCTGATAGAGACTGCGGCGACCAACCACCCACATTACACGACTGTGGCAGAGATTCGTCGTTGGATAAGTAGACCCTGGCAGGTTAAGATTGTGTATGTGTATCGTGAGGCTAATTATATTGCAGATTATCTAGCCTCCATTGGGCATTCCCTAACTGTAGGGGTGCATGTTTTTTATGTTCCCAGTACCATGTTGTTGTATTGGTTGTACTTTGATCGGGTTGGGGCTCAAATGCCCCAATTGGTTTAATGCATAAAGGTTGGGACGCCCTTTAAGCACTCCGTTTTCGAAAAAAAAAAATCACATATAATCTAAGAAAAAACAAATCGAGTATATTACCCTCCCCACCCTAAAACAGATAGAATAGATCAATTCAGGTCAAAATTGCCATCGTCCTGCCTCTACTCCTGCCGCTGCCGCTTCATTTTCCTTTTCTTCTTTTGCCTCCATCCCTCCCTGGTTTCTTTACCCTTTGGCATTTCCCTTTCTCTCTCACTGAGAAAGAGATTTCAGATTTGTGTGTGGGCAACTATCGCAATAATCCCTGTGTCAGGTCCCAAGTTATTACTGCCCTTCTCCTTTCCTCACCTCGCTGTCACCACTCTGCCAAACGCGCACACAATCACAATCACAGTCTCACTCTCACTCTCACTCTCACTCTCACTCCATCCATGGCATTACTATTTACTACAACCAACCCCCAGCCAATCCCCATATACCCCAATTCCACTTCTCCACAGATCGCTTTACCTTCTTCCTTCCTTCCTTCCTTTCTCCCCTGCCCTGCCCTTCCGCCTTCCCCAAATTTCACCCCCACCATAAAATCACCCTTCTTCTTTGTCCCCCCACTTTTACTTTTACCATTTCTCGCTAGCTACTGCTTTGCTTTCTCACTTCCCCTCACTTACTCTCAGTACTTGTTGCTTGCTCTCTTTCTGCATTCCCAACCCAACTCTCCTTCTCTCTAACTCTCTCCTTTTTGTCCTTCTTTTTCTACTTTACTATTTTTAAAATAAGTAGGAGGAGAAGAAGAATGCATGTTTCTCCAGTCGTTCGTTGTTGAAACAAGAAAGTAAATATCTTTCCTTCCAGAGAAGGAAATGGCCACCGCCCCTGCATCAGGTTGTTCTCCTCAGTCTTCCTCCGTCAAATCGTTGCCGCCTCCGTGCCCCAAGTCGCCGCCGGACTACCCTGACTTGTATGGCAAGCGCAGGGAATTGGCTAAAGTTCAGATGCTCGAGCGAGAAATCAACTTCCTTGAGGTTGAGCATTTCCCCTGTTTTTTTTTTTTTTTTTGGTTCTCTGTTTTGCTAAAATGTTATGCTTCAATTTGAACCAACGCTCTTTACCGTGAAGCTCTTTTCTTTTTTGCTGGTGGTGAGTAGAGAGAGAGAGAGAGAGAGAGAGACTAAAGGCTTACAACCCAACCCCAAATTATGTTAAGGCAACAGGAAAGTAGTACACTTCAATTGTAGCCATAAGGACTTTGGTAGCTGAAATTGGTCCCCTGAAAGTTGCTATTCCTCCCCTGTTTTTTAATTCATCTTTGCAAATAGCAACCCGAAGAAGCCCAACTCCACAGTCAGAGAGTGCAGAAATCCCACACTATCTTTGAGTTATGATTACAGTGAAAAGCAGTAAAACCATCTCCTTCTGCTGCCTCTTAACAGCTGCCATCCTCTTCATGCAGAGAAGATGAACCCCACTCTCACTCCCACAACCCCAAAAGTCTGCAGGGTTTATCTCTCTCTCTCTCCCCCTCTCTATACTACAAACTGTCGGGTTCATGGGGGGATTTCCACTTTTGCTTAGTTAATTATTGTCCTCCTTTTCCATGTAACGTGATGAAGTCTAATGAATTAGCAACCCTCTAATTGGATTGGTGGGTATCTGCTTGATTTTGGGATTTTGTTTCTCCACCTTCCATTTTCACCCAATTAACTGTTTTGGCTACTGAGCAGGAAGAGCTAAAATTTGTACAAAACCTACAGCCAGCATCCAAATGCTGCAAAGAGTATGCCAAACTTTCACTCTTTCCTCCTATTCTGAAAAATCTTCACATCTTATTGACATTTTCTAACACATTTTTCACGAAATTGGGTGCAGATTGAGCGATTTTGTGGTGGGGAACCCGGACCCTCTGATACCAACGTAAGACCCACAGCAAACACCCAGTTTCCCTCTTTGTTAACCAGGATAACGATCTTCCCTACTAACTTGAACTTCTTTCTTCATAAAGCAGAAACCGAAAGAATAGAAGGTCATGTCGATTCTGGAAATGGCTATGGTACTTCTTTCTTGTCTCACCCGCTCCCCTTCTCTTTATTTTGGGGCTTGCTCTGTTTCAGGGGGCTTGCTCTGTTTTTTTTTTTATGTCTTCTTATTCATTGAATTCGTCCAATCTGGTTATTGCAGTGGGATCCCCTGTTTCAACTTCTCATGGATTTGTTGCTGCTGCTGCTCCGGATTCTCTTGCCGTTGTCCGAATTTGCCTCGCTGCTGCCTCTGCAATCCCTGCCCTCGTACATCCAATTGCTGCTCCAGCCGTCACAGCGGCGGCAGCTGCTGTAATAACTGCAACAGATGCCTCCCGCCGCCGCCCAACAAGTGGTGCTGCTGCAGCTGCTTTTCCTCCGCCGCTTCCTGTGGCTGTCGTTTACCCAGCTTCAGATGCTGTAAAAAGGACGGCAGCGGCGGTAACGAGGAGAGCAATTCCTGCTGCTGCTGCCCAGATTTGAGTTCTTGCTGTTGCGCTTTCAAGTTCCCTTCTTTTTCTTGCTGCTCGAAAAATGGCTGCTGCTGCGACGGCCGCAATTGCTCTGGTTGCTGCACATGGAAAAATGGGTGGTGCTGCTGTCCCAAGGTACGGCGCCCTCGTTGCAAATGTACAAACAATCCTTGTAACTGCCGCTGCAGTAATCCATGCTGCTGTTCATTCTTCTGATGATTTCCCGAGAAAGAAAAAGAAAGTAGGAATTTTATATAATTGATTAGTGGAAGGAAGCGCCCATGTAACCTTTTAATATTTCTCTATTGGGGGTTCTTTCCTGTGGATATTATGCATACTCTCAATGTACAATTAGTTAACTAATAAGATTGGGGTTATTAATGATGAATATTGTTTGTGATTGATGACAGAGTAACCAATTTCAGCATGATAATTGTAATCAATTTTTTCATTAGTGAATTATGCCACGAACCGCACAATGATGATCTTGTAATCAACATACGAATTCGTCCATCCAAGGGTCGCTCTTAGTGGAGCATTGCTTGTGCACAGGCGTAGGAGTCCTCCGTCGATGAGCAACTGTAGCGACTCGCAAAATTAGCAGTGAATGCACAAGCAGGAATACAGCGCAAATACTCTAGGGTAGATGCAGCAGGTAATGCCATTAACATGGGAGAAAGGAAATGATAAGAAAAAGGGTGAACGACATCAATGGAGGGTGCACTGCAGGCAGAGAGAGAGAGAGAGAGAGAGAGAGAGAGAGAGAGGAGCCATTATTGGTGGGAAATAATTGAAACAGGGGAGCAGAGGAAAAGGAAGGCAGGGTTGTGGCAGAAGCCATAGCCCACATTCTGGAGAAAGAAGGTAATGGCGCAAATGCTAATACGGCCGTGAAGCTAGCTAGATAGAGAGAGGCTCCTCCAGTCACTGATCCCATAACACCTCGCCTGCAGAAAACTCAGAAGCTACCATCAGGGAGCTGTCTTTTCATTCTCAGTTTTCCTCTTCTCTCCTTGCTGTTCGATCCATTTATCATTATTATTGTTTGGACAAAAGCAATGGCCCATTGGCAGCCCCTTGTTCCCAACCATTCGAGTTGTTGGGACCAACTGGTATATGACATGGTATTAGAGCTAATTTGATCAAGTGATCGTGTGTTCGAATCTCCCAGATTTCCAATATTAACAGTTGATATAAGCACAAGGTATGGTGGGTCTGAGCAAACTTCAAGTCACTGAGTTGGCTTTCGTTTAAGGGGCGTGTTAGAGTAATGTAAAAGATCCAGGATAACCTTCTCCCAACAACTCGAGTTATTAAGATTTAAGACCAACTGGTTTATGATAAGTGGTTAAGTACCATAAATGAGTCTCTCGCAACAACTCGAATTATTGGAAACAACTAGTTTATGACATGGTATCAGAGCTGGTTTGTTCTTGAGGTCACGTGTTCAAGTGGTCATGACTCCCAATATTAACCGTTGTCTTCAAACACATGGTATGGCGTGTTCAAGTGCTGATGACCTTTCCCTCTCTATATCCTACTTGTTGAATTTATCTACATAAGGAAGACACTAAACTCTGATTTGGGCCGGTTAAAGCAAGATCGAGCTGAACATGGATTATTTTTCGTGTTATGTACGATTTTGTGACAAACTATTTAAGACATTTCTTTCATTAATAGAGAGGCAATTAATCCCAAAAACCAAAAACCTAAGGCCCTGTTTACTTTCATTTCTGTTTCCTGTTTTTGAGAAAACAGATGTTGAAAACAGGTGAAAACGACATTTTTTCGTTTTCGAAAACAGTAGGAAGCTGCCACTTTCTGTTTTCAGAGTTGCAAACGAATCGAAAACAGAATGAAAAGTAAACATAGTTTCTCGTTTCGTTTTCCAAATTTATGACATGAAAACAGAAAACAGGAAATGAAAATGGAAGTGAACAGGGCCTAAGGCTTCTATCTGAGCCTAGCAGGAGAGCAAACTCATAAACTGTGATGTACCGTTCATCAATGAGCACAAACATGGACAAATGGCATCAACGCATAGCGAACTGTTGAACCTCGAATGGGAGGTGATTATCTCATGTGCATAGGGAAAGCGAATTTTGCGGCAGACTATAATGTCAATTTAGGTCATTCTTATATTTTTGTTGTACATCTCTTCGATGTTTGCGACTAAAAGCTCATGCACTGACTGCTTCATGATGTTAAGGCAACATTCCAAGATCAAGACATTGATCGTTTCGATCGCAATATATCGTTATGACACAAGTTGAATGTAATTCCAACAACAATATTAAAGTGACATAATATCTATTTTACCAACTATGAGTATTATACTATAACTATACAAACACAACTTGGTGGTTGGTAAGCCAATCAAATCTCTATCCTCTCTGCCTGCAGGCCCAACCCAAGCTGCAAACATTTTCAAAAATTTTATCCGACTGATTGCTGACTTTGCTCCACAGAAATTATTGGTCCTTTCCTTTGCCCTGCGATCACCTCACCTTCTCTTGCCTGCAAATCTTCTGTTGGATGGGATGGTGGCTCGATCTGCCCTGATTCGATCAATTGGGTAACATCGGAAGTGAAAATGACTCATGCTAGATCTTCATCAAAGTGCCCTAGATGGATAACAAATTAGCTTGTTTTGTTGTGGCATTCTAAGAGGAATCCTTTTTTGAGTTTCATTACTCCTTTTTTTTTTAACTATGAGATGGATTATAATTCAGATTTAATAGTTTCAAATCATTATATTTTTTTTATAATGGCGAATTCATTGAAAATCAAGAGTTTGAAAATGTACAACAACAAAAAAACAGTGAAAACAGGCCCTCCACCGAGGTGATAGATGAGCATATGACAAAAGTAGAGAGAGAAATCGAGCATAAACAGAAAAAAAAATGCAATTAAAGAGTCCATTAATAAGCTCTTACCAAAAGATGTGGGAGCCCATAAGTACACCCGCAAATCGACCCACCCGTCCAACCCGACCCAACTCACCCGTATTTATCGCTAAAACGAAGGTTTTGGGTTGGGTGACGGTTTTCTTTTGTGCAACCCGCCTCTTTTGGGTTGGGTTTGGATTTTGGATTACACAACCCGTAGAACCCGACCCAACCCGTGTTCCAACTATTAGTATGAGTTCGTATCTAAAAAATATTTATGTCGTATATACCCATACTTATGTGAAAATTAAGATATTTCGCCATGTTTTCTATCATGGTCTCCCTAATCTAATGCATTCTTTGACTTAAATTTTAGACATAAATTGAATATAATTATGATTCACGTAATCATTTTTCTTGTATAAAATTTTAATAGAATAACATATTATGGATGCATTTGTTTATAACCTTTTTAGCCTATTTCAACAAATATCGTGAAACAAACTAGACATATGTTGAAGTAAATCACATTTTATTAAAACTCAAACAACATTTGTGAATTTTGATACCTTTCACCTTGGTTTATTTGTTTGAAATTTTAATTAGTTATAAAATATTTTTATGGTGTATAATAATTATATATTTTATGTTGGGTTGGGTTTTTACTTAAAAATATCGTCAACCCGACCCAACCCAATTAGAAACAAACCGTAGAGTTTAAATTTTTTTGGGTGGGTTTGGATTTGATAATTCCCAAACCATAGTGCATGGGTCGGGTGATTAAAATACTTAAACCCGAACCAACCGACCCATGTACACCCCTACCCATAAGGGCTTATTTCCCTGTTCGAAGGTAACTACCACTCCACTGTTTCCTTTTTGTTTGTAGCATCTGTTGGCCCAAAAAAATGCAATTAAATGGCCCAATATCCATAAGCGGCCCATAAAATTAAGGAACCCTTTGACCTCTATCTCTCTTCTCGCCGCTTCTGTGCTTCTTCTTCCTCTTTCACCTTTCATGACAAGACAGTTGCAGAGGAAAGGCGAGTGGAGGAGCTCCGACGGCGGGTGCGGCACAGAGATCGATAAGGTGGACAAAGAATATTGGTGCCGCTTCAACCGCTGTGACTGTGGCGATTCCTTGACTTTCTTCATTGATGGACTAAGGCATGAACTTGTAGCTGAAAACGACAAGCCGATGCAAGGGATGGCAAGAGCACCGCTCTGATCATGACGAGGACTCTACTGGTCCAGCAAGGCAGGACTGTCAATGACGCTAGTCGCAAAGAAATTAACCCACCGGTGGAGAATGAAACGGGGTGGATTGCCGGTGATGGAGGCAAGATCCGCCGCCTGTTGCTGCACTGGTGGATCGATCGGATTTGAGGCTAGGATGACTGCAGCTGAAGTTCAGGCTGCTCCTTGACTGAAGAAACACACTTGAGAAGCCGGAGATTAGCGGCTTCGGGGGGAGAAACAACCACGAATGATTGGCGATTGATGACCCACGGCGGAATGGACTTCCCCTAGGTCGACTATGCTCAGCGGAATAACATCGCTGATGAACAAAACAAGCCAGCGGGATGAACATCGCTGATGTGCAGAAGACTATCTAGCTGGATCTACAGCTCTGATACCATGTAGAATTTGATGATGCGGAATTGAAATAACACTGGAATACGAGATTTTACGTGGTATCCTCGATCGATTGATCGAGACTAATCCACGGTGAGCTCGAAAGAGCTCACCGCTGGCGATTTTATTATGGGACTACATTGTGACGGCTTGCTTACGACAATCTCGTAGCTAAGCTTATATAGAGAAAGACTTAGGGTTAAACCCCTAATCCAACAAATAAGACGAGCCCAACAATGCCCAATACTAACACGGTTTAAGTAACCGCAACATGACGCGATGGCGCCTCGATGCAAGGCGACACCGCAACGAAAGCTTTGACCAACGATGATGACAACCAGCCGTGGCAAGGGCGACGATTGATAACAAGAGCACAATTGATGATGACGACGACAACAGACTAGAGATCTCATTCTTAACAGCGGGAAGGACTTCGCCGACTATGATACCGGATCCGGAGTAGAAGGCCGGAGTGACATCGGCTCTTCTTTCAACGGCAACCGTGACTATCGAGGGAACGCTGGGATGATGTTGGAGGGACGCCAACATTGAATTGACTACCAGCAGTGGCTACTGTGAAGGTAGCTTGGACTTCGCCTTGACTCGGAAGCTCGAAACCCTAGACAAGGGATCGAGTTTAGCTCTGATACCATGTAGAATTTGATGATGCGGAATTGGAACAACACACAAGACAACGATTTTACGTGGTATCCTCGATCGGTTGATCGAGACTAATCCACGGTGAGCTCGGAACGAGCTCACGACTGATATTTTATTAGGGACTACATTGTGACGGCTTGCTTATGACAATCTCCGTAGCTAAGCTTATATAGACGCAAGGTTAAAACCCTAATGACAACCAAGTTTCCTTCTTTGACAAGGACAAGGAAACAAGGGACTTGGAGAACAAGGAATTAATTATTTTTAATTAAATAATTAATATCCTCAACACTAACGAATTATGGAGGACAATTTTTTTAAAGTTAAAACCGAGAAAAAAAAGGAAGAATACTACAGTATTAGCGAGTAAGACTAGGCAAGAAAAGTGAAGATGGGTCGTATGTAGTGTAGCTGTTGTAATACTCCTTTTGCTATCAATTATTGGCCATGCAAGGTTTTGTGTGCCACGTTTTGGCAAAATTTAAGCAACTATATATTGAACAGGATTGAAAAGGTGGTAAACGTAAACGGTGATTTAGAAATCACGAAAAAAGAAAGCTGCAAAAGCTAAGCCGGATATAAAGCAAAAGGGAAATGAGCAGTAGGACACTAGGACGTAGGGCAATTTTGCTATTAGCTCACACGGTGAGAACGGAACGGATCACTTTGTGACTATTTGAATAAACCTCGTGGTAATTTTATAAATAAAATTGTGATCGTGTTTATTATTTAGAAAACAAGAAATACTCAACGCTCAATTATATGACTCTCGGATTTATGAGCATGTTCTCACATATGTGTTGCGAGCATTATATCTTGGTGACAAGTACAACCTTTGACATTTTGGTTTCAAATTGAAAGCCAATTATGATACCACGTAACCATATGTATGAAGAAACAATTAAAAAAAAAAGTCAAGAAACGGATGGAATAGATATACAATACATTGTTCTTTCAAACAAACAAAAAAAAAAAAAAGATATACAATACATTGTGCAGTGAAGTTAGATCATTGTATGATTCATGAACATTACGTGCAATCCATCATGGACATGAAGTTAGGAAGAGTACTTTTGTAGATGAATCCTGTCAATATTACAAATCAATGAATTCAGTAAGTTGATAACGTATAATCTGTTATTATTTATGTTACAGTTAAATACCTACTTTTCACTGAGATATTGATAATTTTCAAATAGTTCAGAGAATTCAATTTTGCAGTAGATTAACTCATTCTTTTTGTGAGTAGCTCTTTTATTCTTGAAGTTTATGTTTAAGACTTTCCAGGTGTGACCTTAGCCTATTGAACTCATGTATAAATTTTTGAAATTATGTTTTCCATCTTTATTGTTTGATAAGGATTATATTAATTTGTTTTCATTATTACGTGCTACTTAAAGGATTTGAATTTAGAACTAACAATAATACCACTATACCGTAGTTGGTTTTTTACATCATTTTACACTAGTAAGAAACGGTTAGCACACATTTTTTTTTACTCCAAAAAGGTCACTTGAAAATCTCTATAAATCCTAAATAGGGCATCCAAACATTTCCCACACGTAGCCCAATATTTCTCCATAGTCCTACGAAGGAAAAAATGGAAGTAACTACATTCGCCGCTTTAATATTCCTCACACTTCTCACCCTTCTTCTCATCCTAGCAAAGCTCTCGAACCGCCGCCGCCGCCGCGCCGCCGGCCTTCCTCCAGGTCCTAAACCGTGGCCAATCATCGGCAACCTCAACCTCATCGGCGCCCTCCCCCACCAATCCCTCCACAAGCTCTCCCAACAATACGGCGCCGTCCTGCACCTCAAGTTCGGTTCCCACCCCGTCGTCGTCGTCTCCTCCCCGGCCATGGCGAAGCAAGTCCTCCAGACCAACGACCACCTCCTCGCCGGCCGCCCCATGACGGCGGCCGGGAAGCACACCACCTACAACTACTCCAACATCACGTGGGCCCCTTACGGCCCTTACTGGCGCCAAGGCCGCAAGATATACCTCCACGAGCTCTTCACCTCCAGGAGGCTCGAGTCCTGCGAGTACGTTCGCGTGGAGGAGAGACGCGCTTTTCTGGCGTGTCTCTTCTCCCTGCGTGGTGGTGGAGAGGTGGTCCTGAAGGATCACCTCTCCAGGTTCACGCTCAGCGTGATCAGCAGGATCGTCCTGGGCAGGAAGTACTTTCGTGACGACGATGATGAAATGAATACGGTTAGAGATGGATCGAACGGTAGAAAAAAGAAGGACGAACTTGTGACGTTGGAGGAGTTTCAGGGGATGTTGGATGAGCTTTTTCTGCTGAACGGAGTGCTGAACATCGGGGACTGGATACCGTGGCTGGGGTTCTTGGACTTGCAGGGTTACGTGAGGAGGATGAAGGATTTGAAGGTGAAGTTTGATCGGTTTCACGGCGTGGTGCTGGAGGAGCACAGGGAGGCGGCGCGTGTGGGTGGCGTGGGGAAGGACATGGTGGATCATCTCTTGCGGCTGGCGGAGGATCCTAGTCTTGAGGTTAAGATTAACGACGACGGTGTTAGAGGCTTCATACAGGTAAATCGATCAATTATATATGCTATATAGTACCAATATAGTGTTATTGCTCTTTATTTGTTTCTTTGTTTTTATTCTTATATAGGAAAGGTCTAAGTTCTAGGTTTACTATTTATTAACCGGTAAAACCATAACTAACTTCAATTTTAGCGGCATTCCTTCAACATGTAAAATATTTTGCATAATTTACTTTTTATTTATATATCCATCTTCCTTTTTACTTTCAAGATGACACATATTTTGTATTTATCTTTTTTGTTTCATTTGCTTTGGTCACATAAGAGAATCTCTAAGTAGTCCATTTTTTAATTTTATCCGGTTGTTTTCCTATGTTGAAACCGTCATCTTTGTTTGTATTTGGTTTTGCACCGTTACACATGTCTCTCGCTCGGGTTCGGATACAAAGACAACGGGGAAATCTCTCACCCAATTCATGAGGATGAGAGTGACATGTTATTCGTATTTGATTTTGCATTTTTACACATGTCTCTCGCTTGGGTTCGAATAGAAAGGCAACAGGTAAATTTCTCACCCAATTGAAGAGGACGAAAGTGCCATAATATTTTATTGGACCATATTTTATGTTTTTGCGTCTTTTTCCTCACATTCTTTTTTCCCCCTCTTCTCATCTCAAATGAGAGTCCTAGGTTGATTCTAAGTTCATCCTTTATTTCTTGGGTGAAAAAGGCACATAATCATGTTATCTCTTTGCCCTTTATCTTTCATATATAGAAATTTCATTAATTACTAATTAATAGTTGTGAACCTCCAATTAAACCGGTTCTTAATCAATAGTAGTTATATCCTCCTCCTATGATCTATAACATCGTTGGTCAACTAGTGCAAATTGCAATGGAGTTCTTTCACTATATTTTCGTAATTTTTTTTTGCTGGTTTTGTAGTTATGTCTTACGAGTTATATTTTGTTAATTATTTCACGCGCATTTAATTATTAAAAGAAGTATTGATCATCCTTACATAAAAAAAAGTTTATTGATCATTCGAATGGAAGTGTGAAATGTAATGAAAATGTTATTTCATTCGGTACAATTTTTATTTTTATTCCCAACACCAAGCACAATTAGACAACGTCTAAGCAAGTTAGAATTTAGCCAAAACCCCAACCCACACCTTGCTCTTATATCTTTTTAATCTTGATTAATACTACGGAAAATGTGTGGCGAAATATAAAAAAAAGTAATAAATGATGAGTCCTTAGATGAGTAGTAACAAAAAGGAACCATTAACGGACATGGATCACCCTGATCATGAAAGATGTGTTGTCGTCTTAACATGTCATCATCTTGTACTTGTTACCCAGGATCTGATCGCCGGAGGGACAGACACATCGGCGACGACGGTGGAATGGGCCATGTCGGAGCTCATGAAACAACCCCACCTCATCCACAAAGCCAACGACGAGCTCGACGCCGTCGTCGGCCGCCACAGGTGGGTGGAAGAAGCCGACCTGCCTCGCCTTCCCTTCATCAACGCGATCATGAAAGAAACAATGCGAAAGCACCCCGTGGCCGTACTACTTGCGCCTCATCTTGCCTTGGACGACTGCACCATAGGCGGCTACCACGTGGCGAAGGGAACCCGAGTGTTCATCAACACGTGGAGCATGGGCCGGGACCCGACCGTGTGGGCCGAGCCCGACGAGTTCAGGCCCGAGAGGTTCTTGGCTGCGGGCTTTGGCAAAGGGGTTGGCGTGAAAGGACAGAGCTTCGAGCTGCTGCCGTTTGGGTCCGGGAGGAGGATGTGCCCTGGGTACAGTCTTGGGCTGAAGATGATCGAGTCCAGCTTGGCGAATTTGCTGCATGGGTTTAAGTGGGAGTTGGGGGGAGGTTTCACGCCGGAAAGGTTGGGGATGGAGGAGGTTTATGGGCTGGCTACGCCGAGGAAGTTCCCGCTTGTTGTTGTCGTCGAGCCTAGGCTTCCCGTTGACCTTTATCGCGTTTGACTATATATATATATGGTGTTGATATCGTGATGGTACGCGATAACTACGTAGCGTAGGTAAGGTTTGTTCGTGCATGGTTGGGGGATTAGATATGGTCAATAAGCTAAGGTATCACGGGACCAATTTGTTGGTAATGGTGGTGTAAAACTTCACGGTGGGATATATGCTACATGCATGAAGATTGTAATAATGCACTCATTTTACAACAATATATTTCTTGTTCGCTTTATCTGCGTGTTTGCCGATATGAAAAAATCAGCTTGTAACATATCGATTAACTATAAGAGACTTAATAGATTTATAAGTCCAGCTCAACATTTAATAATTAAAAGAGCTAGCTGGGCCTTGTTGAGTTGGATTTTTGGGCCTAAGTGGCCAAACTCTTCTCCATACATGATGGCTGACCCGTCTCCTTGGCTAGGGCTGGCTATTTGGACCGGGACCGGATGAAAAACCGGAAATCGGACCGTATAACCCGGACCGAGACCGGACCGGGACCGGATAGTAAACAATCCAATCTGTACGTGGGCACCGGGCCGTGCCGCCCACGGGCTAGCACGGCACGGCACGGTTAGAGCACGGCACGAGCACGAGCACGAAATAAATGGGTCAGCCCGGCACGAGCACGAATAATTTATGGGCCGTGCCGGGCCTAAACTTCATGGGCACGGGCAGGGGCACGAGCACGGGCACGGCACGGTATATAAGTGGGCCGTGTCGGGCCTAATATTTTCGAGACTCTATTGAGTATAAGAACGGACATGGCACGAAAATAATATTTATTTGATAGAAAATAAGTATAAAAAGAATTATAGGTTCAAATATTACAAAACACAAGTAGAAAAATAATTATTTGTTGTTGTTAGAAGTGTCATACAGATATATACGTAATTACTAACATAAGTAAAAATGGACAAAGAATTAAACAAAGCCAAATCACACTCGCTATACTTTTAATTTTCTTTTCCCCCCTATTTGTTACTTTTCTCAAACATTATCGGTTTATACTATCTTCCCCCGTCCAATTTTCACCTTCTTTTTCATTCTCTCTTTTGTTTTCGTCCTTTTCATTAAACACGAATACGAGCATGGCACGAGCACGAATAGGCACGGCACGATTCGAACCGTGCCTGGGCCTGGGCCGGGCCTAGCAAAGTTGTACAAATGGGCTTGCATGGCACGGCACGAAAACTGACGGGCCGTGCCAAGCACGACACGAAATAAATGGGCCTGAAGTGTGCCCGTGCCGTGCCGGCCCAAGCACGGCCCAACGCCCATGTACAATCCAATCCAATCTTTGGGCTTAGATTTGAGGTAAAAAACCAGATAAAGACCGGATAAGAGAGCTCAACACCCAAAACTTAAGCGTAATTTGCATAAACGGTCACAAACCTTTGCACTTAGTACAAAACTTAACCAACTCCTCACCCTTTTAGGCCTTAGGCCACTCAAATTCCCACAATCTCAATATAAAATCAAGACCGAATTGGGACCGGACCGGGTCAAGACCGGACCGGATCAAGACCGGACTGTATCCAATCCAATCTTCGGTCCTTATATTTTCAAAAAAACTGGACTGGACCGGATCAATTTGGGCCAATTTAACCGGACCGGACCGTATAGCCACCCCTATCCTTGGCCCCCCATAGTTAGATGATGTCTACACCCCTTGGTATGAAATTTGGCTCCCAAAAACTAAGTATGAAAACAAGGCAGCACAACGGGGTGCCAAACCCCCGGGTACCAAAAAGGGGGGCCATCCAAAAACTAAGTATGGAAACAAGGCGACACAAGGGGGTACCAAGCCGACAAGACAGGGCTGATACCCAATTATGGAAATTGGCTAAGTATGGAGCCAATATGGAACCAGGCCACCCATAGCAACAGGGGGCCAAACAAGACGGAGACATGGAATTTGGCTAAGTATAGAAACAATAAGAGCTTGGTAGCCAAGCAGGCAAGACAAACTTAGTACCAAGATACCAATGGGGTATCAAGGCGGGTACCAACTAAGAGAGTCATACAGAAACTAAGTCTGGATATCAAGCTGACAAGATGGGCTTGATAGCCAGGCATCACGGTACCAAGCCAATAAGACAAGAAATTTGACTAAGGCAAGGTGGCTAGCTGAGGTGGCCACCCGACTTGGGTATCAAGCAGCCATGGATGGATCGACTAGCGTGATGAGCTAAGAGTGTCAATATGATGAGGACTCGATGTAGAGCCCCTTAGGGGACCATATAGAGACTAAGACCCAAGATGGGCTTGGTGGCCCCCTAACGGGGTACCAAGCCGGCAGGGTGGCAATGTACCAACTTGATAAGATTCTAAAAACTAAGTATGAAGACCAAGCCGACATGGATGGCTTGGTGGTAGGGGCCGACATGATTGACCTGGTAGATACAACAATGTACCAAGTTGTTGGGACGGACTTGCTAGCAAACTGGTAAGAGTGGCTTGCCGTCAGGGCAAGGTAGAGGGTATCAAGTGGTATCAAGTAGACAAGATTGGCTTGATACAAAATGACAAGTTGGTGTCATGACAAGCTCTCTAAGACTAAGTGTGGAAACTTGGTGGGTAAAGGAGCCAAGTTCTCATCTTGTCCAGATAATCCAATCGATGACATATAATTCAATTCAAGTCATTCAAATTATCAATAGCTTTTACTACCAAACAAATTGGTGTAAGAAAGTTGAACTATAATTATTGTTGGTGTTGTGCTAGTATAGCCACCAATTCCATACCGCTCTCAAATTTGGTTGGCTCTTACCTTCCTTGCCAAATTCCAACTTGCCTGGGATTCTCCCATATGTGGTAATATTAGTGCGATGTAATAAATTTCTAATTTTACTTGTCTCAATCATCCGTTCCAGAAAATGGACGGTCAAAATCGTCAAACTACGTTCGTGACAGTATTGAGTACACAAAGATACCAGCCCACTGGATTATCGACCCAATTTTCCCCTGATTATCTTTAAGTGGTAAAATCTTTTTTCCTGATTTGATAATACTTATATTTGTCGGGTACCAACCACGATGGATAATATAGACAGATATTGCAAACGATTGTTTCGTTTCTTTATATTTGTCTTCTTCCTCCCCGCTGGGTTTAGTGGAGATTGTACCGAATTGTTGAAAAGGTCAACAATTAATGTCCCAATAGCAGGCAATTTCCAACTGGCTTCTACCATTTCAAAACCGGCTAAGCTGTTTCTTTGACTCCATTCCCATTATAATCACTGAAATCACCAACATGTCTTAAGATTGTTAATAACTGGTTTTTGACTTGGTCGGCAACGTGTTAATGTTGAGGAAATCTGCCCCACCAAATACCCATATTTCTACAATATTCATCCTAGTAGCTGGTAGGGGAAAATCCACAAAGAACTGCAATTTCCATTAACAGTATGTAAGGCATTATTTTTTTATCAGACGCGCAAAATTATGTGTAATTTAGAAGCAACAAATTTGATGTTGTTACTTGTTATTTATGTACACAAAACGTGAGTAGATATCAATTGATAGATTGGTAAGCTACTAATTGGATTGTTCATCTATATATGATCAATTTCATCTTTTTTATTTTTAACTTGTACTCAATATGAATTCACTTTTAAGCATATTGCCACAGATGAAAAAGCTAGATAATATTTAATCTTTCATGTAACTTTTGGATTCAACTGTGTAATTAGTAATACTAACTCCTTCTAGAAACAAAAATGGTTGAAAAAATGAAAACAAAACAAAATCCTTATACAGTTGAGCCAATTTTCGACCGATTCTATTGGCAAAATAAAGAATTAAGAAAAAAAAAACTCCACATGTGTCTACGCATGGCATGTATCTATTTACAGTGCCAGAAAATATACACTTGCAATATTGTAATAACTAAAAAATTGTTGTACTAATTATTAATTAAAAAAAAAGCAAGAATAAAAAAATCACGCTCCTTTGGCGTTTGGATGCAACGGAGAGTTCAGTCTGTTGGACCCGCGGGGACTCTGCTTGTACCCACCTCCTCCTTCCGAGTGAACCGTCGGCGACCTCGGCGAACTCCGGTGATGCCTCCGGCCGCCGCCCTCCCCACCACGGTGAAGCCTATGCCTATGATGATACTGTTCCTGCCCACCTTGCTCCTTCTTCGTCACCTTATTCTCCTCCTCACCCACCAACTCCTTCTTACCACCACTAATTTTCTCCTTCTCCCCGCCGCCGCCGCCGCCGCTCTTGGCCTCCGTGGGGACCACGTAGACGAACGTGCCCATCGCGAAGTCGTTGTAGTCCTTGAGCGGCTCCAACGTCTTGACCACCAGGCTCATGTTGGGCCTGTGCTTGGGCCGGTGGCTGAGGCACTGGTACGCCAGCGCCGCCGCCTTCCTCGCCCCGGTCTCGGAGTACTGCCCCTCCAGCCGCGGGTCCATGATCCGGCCCAGCCGCCTGGGGTCGTTGAGCATGGGCCTGGCCCACTCCACCAGGTTCTGCTCCCTCTGGGGCCGGGCCTTGTCCACGGACCTCCTCCCCGTGAGGAGCTCCAGCAGGACCACCCCGAAGCTGTACACGTCGCTCATCGACGTCAGGTGCCCCGTCATGATGTACTCGGGCGCCGCGTAGCCCTGGGTCCCCATGACACGTGTCGAGATGTGGGTGTCGGACCCTTCCGGCCCGTCTTTCGCCAGCCCGAAATCGGAGAGCTTGGCGGTGTAGTCGGAGTCGAGCAGGATGTTGGAGGCCTTGAAGTCGCGGTAGATCACCGGCTTGTCGGACTCGTGGAGGAACTGGAGGCCTTTCGCCGCTCCCAAAGCGATCTTCATCCTCGTTGACCATTGAAGCGACGCCGCATAGCCTGAAGAAGAATAAGTCAAAAATCGAGATTAGACTACTATTTTTTTAGTACAAAATACTCTACCGCGATTAATTTAATCATTATTAATTAGTACTTACGTCGGAAGAGGTGGTTCTCGAGGCTGCCACGTGGCATGTACTCGTAGACGAGGAGGCGGTGCTCCTCCTCGCAGCAGTAGCCGATGAGCTTGACGAGGTGGGGGTGGCGGAGCTGGCCGAGGAAGATGACCTCGGTGAGCCACTCGCGGTGGCCCTGGAGGCCGTCGAGGTCGAGGAGCTTGACGGCGACGGGTTGGGCTTTCAGGGAGCCGGGGCGGAGCTTGTCGTCGATGAAGCCCTTGTGGACGGGGCCGAAGCCGCCCTCGCCGAGGAAGTTGCCGGAGGAGAAGCTCTGGGTGATGACCTTGAGCTCGGCGAGGGTGAAGACGTGGAGGTTGGAGCCGGCGAGGGAGGCGGAGAGGTCGGAGGAG